CATCTGCTTCCACACAGTGAAATCACAAGCTACCATGGGCAGTACAAACCACAGTTAAGAGATCCTGGCACAGRTAGCCCACTACAGTTAATATTAGYATTTGTTGAAGTGCTGAAGCCAGAGAAGACTGTAACCTTAAAAAGCCTTTAAAACGGTTTCCTTGAAACCTCCAAGAYCAGTAATAGTGTACTCAGTCTTAACTATTCCTTGATTCACTATTCTCTGCTGCATTAAGAGGACTGCCCATCTCGTCTCACACTCAAAACAGCTGGAAAMACATGCAGAAATCTTTCAAGAACRTTTGCAGCCTCAGACTATGACAGCAGTCAGCTCAAACGTATTAAAGAGGTTAGGCCTCTTGCTTGTGACCTATGATCCTGAGCAGCCTCTGAAAACATTCTGTGCTAGCTACTGCCACTCAGCAGAATGGGCTGCACAGCAAAAAAAGAAATAGAGTGAGATTAGATTRATTCTTTGTGCTAAACTGATTGGAATTTACTTAAAGTACAGCAGAAAAACTGAGTAGTAGCTTAAAGCAAACTATTTTCTATACAGCAATTCTGCTGTGAATTTTTGCCTCTGTYCTGAAAGAAGCTTTCAGCACCTTGCTTCAGTTAACTAGTCACTTACCTTGGCTATTATGTCTTTAAACTGGCCTTCTTTCCAGGCATCAGTGGGATGATTCATCATAGTAATTATTGCATTGTCATACTCCTCGTACTTGTCATAGAGGAATACAAGCTCTGCCCAGAGGTGAGCCTGTTCTGCAGCTCTGAGCACCTAATAAAACCAACAAAAAATTGCACCAGGTTTGATTCATTGGCAGCTTCCCACCTTCACTTSCAGCTACCTTACTGCATACCTTTGGAATATTAACTCTTGACCAGAAAAGCTCCAGATGTTCTCTCATTTTCTGAGGCTTGAATTTGGAGTATAAAATGGCAAGTTCAGTAAACATCCCCATGTGAGCACGCTCTAGACCCAATGCAGCTTCCAAAAGGGCAATCAGTTCTTCAAAGTAGCCACGATCCTGGATGTTAGGAAAATAAGGAATAATAGTGCTTGCTAAAATGCATATTTACTTAAATTCAACAWGCCTTTGATTTTCTTTCCTAATGAAATTGCTTAGATTTGTARGACATGATTCCCATAAGGAAAGAGAATTATAAAAGAAGGGATAGTGAAAACTATTACCACTCCATTTACTAAGAAAACATGCATATCACCACTAGGAAATGAAGATAGAATAAAAATATTTTAGCCCCCAGGGTATMATTTTTTCTGTGACCACTTTGTTAGCAGATACAAGTATGCTGTATAAAGCCTTCTAGAATATTAACAGTGACTGACCTGATAGTAACTGATCAGCTCCTCAAGCTCATCAGCATGGATGACTATGTGTAAGCCACAGATCTGTGCCAGGCGGAATTCTTTTCCATCCACACAGGCAAAGCAGACCTGTAATGACAGTCAGCAAATAGTTAACAGGACAAAGCTTTACCAAACCTGAGGTTTACTAACAGTTCCAAATAGCTATTTCCATAATATTTGTTCTAGAATTAAAATCTATTAAAGCCCTCAAGTTGAAGTTACCTCCTTCCAAGTCCTTGTGCTGTTGGCTTTGCGGCCACTGTCCACAGCTGCCTGATACTCCCCAAGGTGCACCAAGGTAGATGCCAAGCGAGCAAAGTTGGATACGTTGTTATAGAGAAGTTTTGCTGCTTCATACATTCCCTCTTCATAACAGCGATCACCCACCTGAATTAGGAGTACAAGATTAACAAGGGTACCAGCAACAATCAGGGGTAAGCTAAGCAGCAAGTCACACATGGGAACTGTGGACCAAGACATACCTGTTGTATATGGGCATTATTAGGGCCACTAATAAACTCCTCCAGTTCTGACAGACGATTAGTTTTTGCCAAAGCAAAAATAAGTTCTGTCTCTACATAAGACTCTCTAGCCTTTTTCCTGGCCATCTGCARGAACTTGACTAGATCCTCCCAGTTATCTGGAAGAGAGTAGAAGTAATTAAGGTCCTGTGTTTAGCCATTGTTTACCTTGCCTACCTCAGGAATAGTTTTCACTAAGAGACTCAATGCCCTTGTTCACCACAGTAGTAAGACATTTTCACTTGAGTTACAGAATTCCCTGCTAAACATCAMGTCACCTTTATGTCAGGTTGGACTTCTGCTACTATTCTGCAAACCAGCTGGCAGGCAATTCTGCCACAYACAGCTAAATAAACACATTACACTTGGCAATATTTTAGGTAACAGTCCAAATTGTCTCCTCAGAAAGGTCTGTCTTTGATGCAGCAACACAGACAACCTTGTTGACAGGAATCTCATTCAACATTGACTCATCCATCCCATTTACTGACTGTTCCCATTTCCTCTGAAACAGAATTTGTAAGTCTCAATAGTCCCTGCTGCTCAATGTAAATGCAATAACCTAGCTCACATCTGAGGAATCTGAAGTTGAGGATGCTTTGCCTTACCATTTCTATTAGCTGCCTGAACAACTTCCATGTAGGCAGATGGATCATCTGCCTTTATGTAGGAGTCAATGGCTTCCTTCACCAAGTCCTTCTGGAGCTGTGCTCTGGCCAGCTGGCTCCACACYGCTGGTTCATTACACCTCTCTGCAAATTCATAAGCACGGTCTAAGTTGCCAATGTGCTCAATCAGCACCTGTTTGAAATTGAAATAGCAAGTTAAAAATCAAGGTTTTGTAACACTGTCCCTTCTAATAGAACTCACTCTTCAAGTGTATACACTGCTCTGTGTAACCAATATAAAGCTAACTGCTCTTAGAACAGCCATTTCTATCCAGTGAAGCATATCACACCATCATGCAGGAACCASACCTCACCTGGATTGCTGAAGTATTGACATCGAATTTTCTGAATATAGCAAAGGCTTCTTCATATAGCTCATTACTAATAGCAATGTTTGCAATATCTGGTGCATCRTAGTTATCCAGCCGACTGATGTATTCCATCACTCGAGTGCGGTCAGCCTTAATGGCAGTCAGGATCAGCAGATTCTGAAGATTCCTTTGGTTAACAGAAGGCATAGGCTATAAGCAGTGCACGGCAACACCTGCTTAAGTGACATGGATTGTACATGTGAAAAAAATATACCCACTTATTGTAACCAGCAACAGCCTTGCATCCCCAGTTTGAGAACCATCGACATTTGTCTTCAAAATGACATTACTTACCACTCTTAGTGTTCTCTGTTCTCAAAACATCACTGCAAATTGCATAGTGTGAACTAACTCTGTTCTTCAACCAAAAAGCATTCTGAATTCTAGCTTTTCACCGATTATAAACATTGAAGGGTGGTTAGGTCCTGCAGCCAAGAGGCCCGTGATAACCTGGATCATTCACAATCTAAACAAAGGCACTGAATAGGCTAAACTTAAGGACAAAGCTCTCCTCTTACCTGTGTTCACTGAATACAGAATTGTCCAAGACAATTTTTTCCAAYAACTCAATCAGTTCATTTGGCAGATCAGCAGTCATGAAAGCTTTCACAGTTACAGAAACTTCCTCTGGATCTTGCGTCTCTGATAAAGCTGTTTGGACAACCTAGATTCAAAGGCAGGAAGGTATTAAGTGTTTTTCCTCAAATTAAATATTTGTCAATTTGTCAAGTTATTCCAGTAAACTACAAATTAAAGCTTCAGAACTTTTGAGTTTTTTTTATATCGACAGCAAGAAACAGGTATTAGCTGTATCCCATACAGAAGTAAAGTCACATCTTATGTTTGTATGRGGAACAAATTTACTAGAGGAAGGTCATTCTCCAGGACAGAAAAAATACCTTACTAGTAGCTAAATCTTCTGACCATGAAGGTCAAAATTAATACCTGCCACTCCAATTCTTACAAACTTCTGTAAGAGAAGGCCCTGACAGACCTTGTGGGGCAACAGTGCTATTTTAATGCTCAATAATGTTTCTGAGATATCCTGAGATCTCCACATACTGAAGTTTAGCCTTTTTGCTGTACCTGGTCAATAAGCTGCCGCCTGAATGGGTTGTTTTCTTCCAGTACATTTGCCCAGAGCTCAGGGTCCTTCCTGCGCACCAGATAACGAGCCTCGCTCTTAAACAGGGAGTTCTCATTGCACACCTGAAGGAGAAGTTGCAGTTATTGGCATTATTGTTAAGGGTCAGTACCAYAAGACAAGTTTAGGTAGCTATGAACCAGACAGTCTAGAAGACTGACTAGAACTAATYTCTGACCTATGCTAAATGACACAAGCAATTTCTTACCCAGCCTCTGATCTGAAAGGCTCATGGAAGTCTCCAGCAGAATTTCTATAGCTTCTCTTGGTTTTGCCCAACACACAAATACTGTGACAGTGGCTTCACAGTAACTACTGCTTCTGTTTGAAGTGAAGACCTGCAGAAGCCTTAAAGAGCTTAAATTTTAAATCTAAGAAGAGGAGTCACTTGCCTGGGCAGTGTTAAGTAGTGAACTGAGGAATGTGTTCCAGTGTTAAGTAGTGAACTGAGCAGGTGTTTAAAGCTAGAAGTAGGTTACATATTTGGTGTCATAAGCTTTACACAAAGCTACGAGTGTTTGGAATAGCAAGTGGCTTGGATTCTCTTGTAAAGGGGCTAAGGGTACAGAACAAACGTGAAATCCCCTATAGAAGTGCACCATGAAAGAGTCACAAGTCATGATCCTCTTGGTACCACTAGCTTTGATTTCCATCTAGAGGAGTAGAAAGCTGAAGGCCTCTGTCATACCAATAGCTCACATTGTTGGTATCCAAATTATCCTCTGGAGTCTCAATTACTGTGCTGTAAGCAAATCAGTACTAGCACAATCTTACTTCACATTTATCAGTTGCAGTAGCTCACCATGCTTGTAGGACACAACAATGGATAATTCTTACAGGAAGATCTTTTCTTCATAACCAGAAACAGCTGCTCAGAACATCAGTTCAAGAAGAAACTGATACAGACAGCTTATTATAGTTAAAGGTAAAGCTTATCCTAGCAGTCTCCCAGCAAACAACTCAAATCCACCTTCATATCCTGAAATAAATGATACAAATGCAGCCAGCCCTGTTTTAACAGCTGCAGTGGAGCTATTACTTCAAAAATAACTGCTTCAGGCTGGAAAAGTCATCCACTTTCAGTAGCAAACCCAGATTATACTACCGTTCTAAAGCTCACAGCTTACATTTTCTGCATATACCAGCATGGAAGTGCAGGTAGGAGGAGAATGTTTTTCTCAGCAGCCACAAGCACTACAATCTGGCATTAAGCTCTGGTGTTCATGTTGTGACTAGAAAGGGTTTGAGAACCCTGAGAATTTCACTTGCCCTTGAAATTCTAAGGGACGTTCTAAGAACAACAAGCTTAAGATAGGAGAGGAATGCTATTGGAATAASTTCTTGTAGTTAGACTGTCAACATTTATTTTTCTCATTTCTGGTTAAGTATTGGAACAAGTCTATGGGTCAATCACAAYRAAGGAAAATTACAAGCCCTGTTTTAGTTTCAGGGAAACTTTTCTTTCACTGTAGAGACAGGCTGCATGAYAGTCTGTTCCTTCTGTTGAGCCTTCAAGGCTCAAAAAAATCAAATTAACAAAGCTTTAATGGTAGGCATATTCATTACCTAGGCCAAATAAATTAATTTAAAATAGAATCAGTGGATGAAACACATGGATGGATGGTACTTCAAAGTTGCAGTAATCCTATGTCAAAAATGAAATTGTGTAAGTTCTTCTCATCAGCATAAGAAGTACTCCATATAGAAGAATCTCCCGCCTGCCTCAACTCCTGACTGCAAGACAGGATTCCACAAGTGTTAGACTAATAGCCAGACAGGCTCCCACTGCGGACAGCAAGCAGCTCTTTTAAACAGGATTATAAATGAAGTTTTACTAACCTTTATGAGTTCCAGATCACACTGCCCCCTCTCATAAGCAACACAGGCCAAATGAGGATCCCTCTTTTCACAATATTTGCCAACTACACGGCTGTCATAGTAAGGATTCTCACGAAGGAAACGCTCTGGATTATTATTACTGTCAATGTAGATTTTGGCCAAAGCATTRTGAGTTGCAGGTTCTTCACAGCCTTCATGAATCCTTGATTCAAGCCATGGCAACAGCAACTTAAGCCTTTGAAGAAGCAAACATTTTAGATTTGTAAGTCAGACTGAGGTATACTTGACAGCTTCCACTCAGTACCTGGCCTTCCCTTCAAGCAAGTCTGCTGGTCAAACTTACAAGTAAACACAGACCAGCCAGTTGATTTTTAATGAATCTTAAATGAGTGGAGGTCAAATATGCAGTTTAACATCAGGGAAGGTTGCAGATGYCCCTAGTTTTACAATCTCTCAACTTCTGTTGTACTAGCTGGCAGTTTACACTTAAAGCAATTTATTCATTTTACAGGTAGCTAGAAACTACACAAGCTGCTGTGTGCCTAGAGCTAGACTGTCAAGATGGTTTTGACAGTTTGAGCCAAATTTACTCTGAAGGCACATCCCATGGCAGCCCATACAGGAGTGTTCAAAAGCCATGTTATACATCATGCAGTGCTGTCATGCATTCCCATATGACCCAAACAATCAAAAGACTGACTAGCAAATCTAAACTGCTTGTATTAGTACTGTATCATTTAACAAAACTGCAYCCAATTCAATTTGTGTAAATCAGGGTCAGGGAAGCCCAACACTGGTGCCTACAGATGCACTTCATTACCGATTACATTTTCATTACCGATTTCTTTTTTCTACTTCAGCCACCAGCTCATCTGTTGAGAACTGYCCTCTCACCACCATGATCAAGTTCTTGATGACATCTTCAGAACAATCTACATCAAGAAGTCCTCCAACCACTGCTGGTATACGGCTAGGATTCACCTAGAATAAACCACCATCATTAAAATCAGTTATTAGCATTACTAAAAATGCAGCCCCAGTCTTCCTCATCTAGTTAAMAATTTCAATTATGCTTCAGAGCAGATAACTTTAGTAACTAACATTTGTATACAGACTCCAGGGAAAATGTTTTTGTGATAGCAAAAGGCTTATTGAAGAGCCTCTGCACTRGAAAGTTTGAGCAAAACTGAGACACAGCAGATTATGCTGTAGTCTACTAAAAGTCTAAGTTCCTTACAATGAAGAAAAGATCACGTCCTTACCTTCTGTACATAGATCTCAATATACTTCTGCAGGTTGTTGCGATATAAATAAAGCACCAGGTCATGAACAAAGTCAAACCGATCGCAGACAATGATYAGAGGAAGCTGATCTGTGAGCTTTGCCTCCTGTATTTTGTGCAAAAGAGAAGAACACAACACCAGATTATTCACAGCCATGCAAACTAAATGTTCTTGGTATTTCCCTCCATTACAAAGCTGTAGTTCTGCTGCTAAGCARATTATACAGAAGACCCTTCAATCCCCTGGGCAGAGTATTTACCTTCAGAAAGTTCTTCACTCGTTCTGGGTTATAGCAGTTACTTTCACGGCAGATTCTTTCCACTTCCTTTATCTGACCAGTCTTGCAAGCTGCCTGGATGTACTTGAAGTGAACATCTGGATCCTGGCTAAAGTTTACAATGGAACCCAAGAAATAGAACAGTCCTGGAAAGAGTCACATGTGTTYAACATTGTTAGAAGTGAAACAAGTGAAGGCTTCAGCTTGTGACTTAGTTCAACCTTGCTGAGAGAGTAGCTTTCAGTCAACTGGGAATATCAGAAGGATTCTTTTCCCTTCTTTCTMGTTTCATCTTTCTTTCTGATCTTTACTCAAGAGAGTTAAACTATCTAGAACAAAGCTACCCCTAGAAYTCACTGTGATGAGTTCACTTTGATAAATGTATTTTAAGATCCAGCCATGTGACAAGTAYCTTTCCCRTAAAAGCTACAATCCTCACTATTARCTTCTATCAGTCAGTGCTGCCAAGTAAGCTGCTTCCCTCTAATACTCTACCTTCATAGCTTTTGAAAGATTCAAAAAGCTCCACAAGAGACTGGGTACCAAGCTGTTCATGGTATTTAGAAGCAACTTGCACACAGAGCTGTAGGTTTTGCCTAATATTGGCTGACAGCATGGCACGCAAACACTCCACAGAGTCTTCAACTGAGAGAGAGCCAAAGAAGTTCACAAGCCACTGCAAAGACAGAAATTTTTCTCAGTAACTCATACAGGATTTGACTGACTTCTAAGACATGCCAACTAGACAGTTTCTATGCCAGCTACTAGAGAGAAGTTTTACATGCATTAAGACCAAAGACATAAAAAGAAACACACTCACTTTCGTTACAACTACAAAAGTGCAGTTTGGAAATAATTTTGGAAATARTATTTGAAATGCCCACCTGGGAAAATGAGGTCAGATTTAAGCCACTGGAAGTACAGATTACAGTTTAATTGTTAACTGGACAAGTATTCTTGAATCACAGGTACCTGTACTACTTCAGTACCTGAAACCCATCTTAGGGCAGGTGCAGAAGTGCTAAAGACTGTTCACATCACTTTCTTACTCTGCACAACACTTACCTCAGGATTCAAGAGGTGAGTATGAACAACTGCACGTTTAATATCATAGAGATCYGTGTAGTGTTCCAAAGCTCGCTGGAGCAAGCCTGCCTTTTCACACAGCTGGGCAACATGAGCACGATCATAGTGTGTAAACATTTGGTTTCCAAGAATGGCATCTGCAACCTAGGGGGTTACATTTCACATTCAGATTGTCAAAGAGGATCACAGCAGCTTRGCCTAGAAGTTGTTGAAAAGTCACAGCAGTGACTTAGTAGTCTTTCATGTCACTAAATGACTTATAGATAACACTATCAAACATCCTACCGTTCTGCAAGTCTAGTACTGTCTCTCCCTTTTTGGAGGAACTGGATCTTACCTGTGGGGCATGAATCAAATTCATTTCCAGGAGACGGGTCTGAAGGTGGCCTTCTGCAGGGCGGTTGTTTTTCAGGGCATCCAACAAAAAGGATGTGCACTGCTGCAGAAGACTGTGCTCCATGAATACATCCACAATCTGTTGAGATTGGTCAAGTCAGAGTAAGCAGAGAGTGCTATATACACACATGCACATTTTTCTCTGTATACAAAAAGCCTGGCTAGACTGGCTACCACAGCATGTGGCATGCTGCATTTCCTTTGTTTTCATAGTGTTACTACTATGGTAATAAGAGAGACAAGTTTCACACTTTGTTTCCTTTTTCTCTAGAATRGAAGAAGTGCATTACTCTGAGCTATGATGCCAGATCTTGCCACCCACCCTAYTTAGTTCTAACACAGCATGCAAATCTCATCCCTTCTCTCTTGTTGGGATAGTTGCTAGAAGAAAAGCAAAKACTTTGTCCAAGTAGCTTCCATTATTTAATCAYGCAAAATGTTCCYTTATTTCTCCATCCATTTAACAAGMAGTGGCCARTGGYAGCCAGAACTGGCCTTTGGTTTRTATGTTCATCTTCCTGTAARTTGTCTGCATGGGGAGATGTATGCTCCATTAAAGCCAACACTTGGATAGTAAAGCTCTACTGCTTAGTCTAAGATTGTGGCAGGTTTACTATCAAAAAACCAGAAAATTTCCACAAGAATTTGATAAAACGCTTGCCTCTAAAGACTCAGTGATAACCAAACCTGACTAGACTATACCAAGTTAGTCCCTAACCAAGATGACCAGAGATCTGAACCAAATTTACGAGTCCCCAGAATGGTACTATGCTATTACCTCTGGCTAGAAAGAGACCAATGCACTTGTAGGCATCACCTGGTTAATGTTAGCCAGTGGCTCCTCATCCTGTACCAGCATCTGAGAGAACTGCAGGCCTTGTTCKGGACTCACTCTCATTACGCTTCTCAGCAGGAAGATCCAGTCTGGGGTATAGCCAACCTGAAGATTTCAGAAACAGTCATGCATGTCTAGGAAGCTTCACACTTCTAWTAAGCCTTGAGATTCTTTAGCACARGGACTATGAACTGCTGTGAGCCAGCCATACCCATCCCCCATCTTCCAGGAATTCTCAGACAGAAGCATTTCTTGTCTGTTGACGAAGAAATTAAGTATTCACCTACTTAGTAACTGAACTTGTGCCAGGGCATTTCTCCGGCTAGGTAAGAAAACTGCCTGGAACAAATCTTTCAACAGTCCTAAGATACTACTTATCAACTCCTAAACTTACAAGTGGACATTTCTTTTTTTATGGATTACAAAACAAAGTCTGAGGAATTTAGGAAGACTCTTATCTTTACTCTGTAGAATAAGCTTAAGCCAATCCATTAATTTGATACTTCATAAAATTCTGGATGTTTTGAATTTTACTCTTTGCAGACTGCACAGACTGTAGTAATTTATTATGATTTGCACAATGTACACATTAAACACAAAACAGAGCCTGCAGTTTGTGATAAACTATTTACCTTCTTRGCATACAGCACTATTTTCTGGAACTGACCAGTTTCAGCAAAACACTGAATCACTTTGTTTGGCACATTAGCTCGAAGGTAGACGCTGAGTGCAAGGGTTGGGTCAGCCGTCTTCACCAAGTCTCCCAGCTCCTCTGAACACTCCAGCTGAAGTCAGAAGTGGTATTTTGTCAAGCAGAAAAATTCAGAGATGGAGCATCAACAAAAGTATTCTTCACATTCGACAGTTACAAGGCAACAGAAGTAGGCTAAATATCATGATYGAACCTACCTTGTCTTCCTTCAGCCACTTCTCCAGAAGCTGTTTGCGGCCCTGCTGCAGGACAGGGCGGCAGAGCTCCAGAGATTCAAACTTGTTCAGCTGKCCCTGGTCAAGCAATATTCCAAAGTACTGCAGCAGGGGAGAGGCCTGCCCAGGCTGAGCTGGTACACTCTGGAACTTCCTAATTGTATCACTGGTACGTAAAATTCCCTGAACAAGCACAAGACAGAGAAGCAATGTTTAATTAGTGAARACTGAACAGTATTAGTCAAAAAAACAGGTGTTAAGTTACACACTGAAGCACCTACTGTTAAACCTTCAGCATAGACAAGTCAATGAATAAAGTCCATTCTGGTTAGAAAAGTATAGCAGATGCTCCTTCATGGGATACAGGGGAAATCTATTCATCAGAACCACTACCAGACTGCAGAGAACTAAGCACTGATTTATGTTTTCAATGTCAAGCTTTGAAATGCAAGTGAGCTAAGCAATCCACTAAACTAAGGCAAATTCCCAATCTAACCTTTACCTTTGGAGTTATTTACCTTTGGTGCAGATGCAGCTACTTTAGCAGCATCTGCATAGTTTCCTTGAGCAAACAGTGTGTTAAACTTTCTGGCAAATAATTCCTCGGCCCCAGCTAGGTTACTCCGTATAGCCATTCGCAGTCCCAAGTCAGGATTCTGGAGAACATTCGTAGCATAGTTCACTATGTTATCTTCCTCAACACATACAGAAAGCACCTGGAAAGGACAAGAGRCATATTGGGAAGTACTGTCTTTTCCACAGCTACTATGAAATACAACAACAAAATGACTATGCAGCCCAACAGTGAAAGAGTAATTATTAGAAAAACAAGCTCCTCTCCAAGTAGTTCTGTACTAGGAGAGATGAAAAACTGATTAATCMAATAGTGACTTGCTCCCTCCCATGACATTTGTTCCATCAAGTYATTCATTAGGTTTGTYACATTCCATCAGAAAGGAATCAGAAAGGCTCAGAAACAGAAGGGTGGATTTGTTACCTGTCCTTTTTTGTTCACACCAATAATGCCTGAGGTAGGTTCATGAGGAGCTGTGACAAAGATAGTATCAGCACTAATACGGTTCATGTAGATGCACACTCCAGACTCCAAGTCATACATGTGGATATAGCCATACTTAGTGATCAGATAAATAACACCATGCTTAATTCCAATCTGCCAAAAGACAGGTTTTATTAGTCAAAACTAGCAAGACTGCAACAGTTAAGACAGCYACCTTTAGCCTAGTCACAAGAAAGTACTGCAGTGACATGCCTTYGTACTGACACTAAGAACAAATATAGCTTCAGGCTTCTTCCTTTCAGACTCAAAAGCAATGAACAGCTTTGCTGGCCATTTGCAGGCATAGCTCCATTGAACAGAGAGGTTGAAGGGAAATTAAAATTCATCTGCAGCAAAGGACATACTTCTCATCCTAATAAGCCAAGCTGAGGAAGAAAGTTTGGGCATAATTAGCATTCTAGTCTAGATATGTCAGTACAAGTTTCTGTTCAGAAATACTAATGAGATAATCCCATTCTCCTCCAACAAAGCCCACCCAAAGCACCAGCAGAATCCAAACCAAGTTCATCTACTGAATACTCCAGTTTGTCTACCAAGTCACTGAAACTGGGGAGGCTTTTGAGCCAAAATGGTCTTCAGRTAAGGAAGTACTTTCCCCTTGGAGCAAGTCTTTGGATGTTTTGTTAATTAACCCTCAAGCTGAAGTACAGAGCCACATGAATCCTGCCATACCTGCACCTTAAGGCATCTCTTAGTACTTTTATGGAGCTGGTCTATTAGACTTGTCAGTAGTTGTATTCTTTGAGACAGTCTGCTTTTATGACACAATTTCTATTCCTGCAGATATGCTAGGTGAAATTTGGTCTGTGAAAGCAACCAGCCATGTGCTTTCCTAAAGAAACTCTGACAWGTCCCAAATTGCCTTTTCTGTGCTGCTGCTACAGGAGGTCTGTTAATATTCTTACCAAGAACTTGTAATAACAGTATGAAGTTCAATAGTCAAAGTGATGTTAGACACATTCTACTTGAAGACACTGTTGAGGCCGTTGTTTGGATCTGCTTTATTGATTTGGATTTGGGGTTTTTGGGGTTTTTTTTACTTTTTTTAAAATACAGCCTTAGGCTGACATCTGGACAAATACAGGGAAGTCTATATATTTGAGTTACTGTTTTAATATCCAGGCTACCTCCCACAAACCAATTAACACCCCTCTCAGAACTAGGAAGAACAACAGCAAAGCACTATAGAAAGCATTCTTTACAACAGAGATGGCAGGTACTTGCCAGACTGTAAAGTGCATTTTTTGGGTGGTRGGTGGGTCAAACATTTACCTGCATTGCCACAGGAAAGTCTGTTTGTGCTTCAGGTGGGAAAAACACATCAACAGCTTTCTTAACAAATGGCTGATTTCCAGTAGCTGGCTGACCTACTTCGATGATGTGCAGCTAGGAAGAAAAGAGTTCATGTCACAAGATTGCCTGTAAGTACAGCCACATGAAAGAAGTTCCTTTCCTCAGATATGCCACTGAAGTTATCTGCCATATTTGGCCAATGCAGTCTGGGGAGCTGTGCTCCACACATATTCAAAATGTTAAGTTTTCTGGAACRTGATAAATTAAAAACTGGGAGAAGATTAAAAAACCAAAACAACCACACTTTCTGTGAAAGCGGACTATTCTTATTGAAGACAACACATTCAAAATGCTTTGAGTCAGACTTATCAATTTTGCAGGATGAGACTAGAAAAGCCAAGACATTTTTTGTAGTGTCAGCACTGTACAGACTACTCAGCAGTTGTGGCATACTCAATGCTACTGAATTCCACATTCAGTTTGATGCAAACAAACTACCTACAGAACTACAGGAACACAGCTGTAGATTTTACCTTGCCTCCTGCAGGACTCCTCACAGCAAAACAGAAGAGGGTAGAAGGTTTGGCATTTCCCTCTATTTTGAATTCTGCAAAAGCTGCTGCATGGCCTTCTATAGGTTGGGAGACTTTTCTATCAACTGAGTAAAGCTGCATTGCACCAACCACTCGATTTTGCTAGAARAGAGAAAGGTCAGCTTTTAGAGATAAGATTTCAAATGTTTATAGCAAGACYCTTGGGACAGTAARCTAAAAAGCAGCAAATGCCTCTCAYCCCCTCCTCCAACACTCAAATCGAACTAAAAGTCAGGCTACTGCTACACAAAAGATATTTCTSAATTTTTTATTTACAGAAACCAAAGTTAAATTACAGCAGCTATTAAGTGAATTGGGGCCAGGGCTCTCCTGATCATCTGTGTAAATGCTGCTTCCAGGAAACTTACCTGTGCTGAAATTCCTATCAGCAGCAGCCATTTTTGGTGTTCATCTGTTCTGTAATTGATGATTTGGCAGCCTGCAAGACTAGCATGTCTATCAAACATCTTTTGGGGTTGYGATTCTCCCTCCATGCTCCAGTGGTACACTGCTGTCTCTGTCACCAAGGCAACTGTATTCACAGATATCCATTTCCAGAAGATCACTTCCTCTGCCATTGTGTGGGCTTTCATTTTACTTTTCATCTCAATGTTAAATATCTGAAGTGTTTTCCCRGCTAGTATGACAAAATCCAAGAAACATCACAGATCAATTACCACAATGGCCATCCTGTAGTTTGCCTATTTACAAGCACCCAGTTTAACCCACTGTTCCAGTGGCGTTACAGACAGKGTTAGTGTCCTGTCACATCTGAGTCTCCTCTGATACTTGACTCTTAACAGAATCCCCTTGCCACCCCCAACAACTATACCATCCCAAAAACAAAGAAATCTTCTTATGGGACACTCACATARACATTCCAACAACTGACAAGCACAGACACTTTAACTATAAGCTGTAGTAATAAGAGTCTAAGCTACAGAGCTTGTGTAAACTCTTGTTTAGTTGGCAGCACTGGTATGCTAACTTACAGATGTCTTGTAGATGTCATTCTATAATTAACAGAAATAATAGCTCCAGTTTGTGTCAATTAAGTAGCTGATGTAGATGACCTGGACTGAGTCAAACAGCACGAGACCTAAAACAGCTGGAGACAGCCAAAAATTACAGCTCCCATTTTATTCCTCTGTTGAATGAACTGCATACTGAACTAGATGGGCTCTGCACAACAARTACCTACTGGAAAGGACAGCTAAAAAGTCAGAAACACTATAGGAAGGTTTGGAGCTTTAGTTCCAGTTAAGATTGCTTCTTTATTATTTAGGAAACAATACTGCAGGTTTAGGCTTGATTTTWGTATTCCTTTTAACTACCAGAAATCACACCCTACTTAAAGGTAGGCTTAAAATCAATGCTAATTGAACCAAACTATAAAGAATAAGGGAATCACTTTGACTTAGTGAAAGGAATAGATATTTTATTTYACTGCAGATGAGACAACTCAGCTCCAGGAATATTCTTTTCTGTTCACAAGACACCCACTCAGAGTGCTGGAGTATTGGCTTGTAATGCCATTATTTCTATCCAAACTTCAGAAGTGTTTCCTGTTAGTAACACTTGTGACTGCCAAACTGGGAGATGTTCGCTGATAGGTTAAGGCTGCTGGCCACTAAGAGTTACTAATCCCAAGCTAATATGTATCTAAAACTGCTCTATAATGTTTTAGCRTAATTTATACATATATTAATCATGTTCATTTAATGCAGTGCCAAGAGACAATGCAAGACTTCACAGCTACCACAGGCAGCATTTGCTGCCTGGTTTAACTGCATAGAGAACTGTCAACCTGTTCAACTACATCCCAGTTGCTTGTTAGCTTTCCTGGGACCAAAAGCAGCCTGCCAATGAACACCTTGCTCTGCACATGCACTTACTGTTTTAGACAGGTGCAGTAAGCCCAGGCCTGTAARCTGATAGCTGGAAACAGCACAGTTACTGTGTTGGACAACAATTTGTCCAGCAATGGCCTGGTGCTAGCAAGAGATGGGTTTTTAAGTCCCATAATGCACAGCTTCACATGCAGCAGGCAGACAAGTATTTGTGGAAGGGCTCTGGTCACCATCTAAACAACAATCCCAGTATCTGCATACAGAAACTGCTCTTAAGGACAGTCTTCCAGAAGAGGAAGCAGGACCTCTTTCCCAGTTTTAAGAACACAGATGAAACTGACAAACAGTTAAAAGCTCATTCTTGTCTCTTCTAGACTAAATTTAACCACTGTGCTACAGTTGGAAATGGCTCTAGAAGTTTCACTAGGCAGTTTAGCCCTGGATGTTGGGAGCTGCAGGAGCCACAGCTTTCCAATTCCTTCAGAGTGGCAACATAAATTCAAATTTCACAACCCTAAACTGTAATTCAACTACGAAAAAAAAAAAAGTGTTATTTGGATTGAGAAAGCAGGACCTGCTACAGAGTCATAGTGWGTCTACTTGAATACTTTATTAGGCCAAGATTTGAGACAAAAAGCAAGACTTAAGCTTTTCTGATCAAACTACCAAACTGAGGACTCTATTTAGTCTATACAGGTGTAGCCAAGTAGACAGATTCAATTTTTGAACGGTAACACAAGAATTTACATTTCAGTTCACTGGAGCATAAAGTTTATCCATTCCACAAAGAATGGAAGCACCCCCAAGTGATGCATTCTCCACTTACAGCCAGTGCTGAGCACTCCCCGTACAGAGCAGCACAAAAGGACCATGAACACAAGGACAATGCATAAACCTCAGTACACCAGGAGAATGCCACATGCAATCCAGAAATGAAATTGTGCACACTGTATTTCAGTTTCAATCAATCAATCATTTCATTTCTTTTGTTGAGGGTGGGTTTCTGTATTTATTGCTCAATAATCCTCAGATTACGAGCAACTCCCAATCATGGTACAGAGTCACAATATGCAACCATTTTGACTACTGAAGCCTCACTTGATCAACAGGGAAAAGTCTGGAGTGACAGACTGACTTAAACCATGCCATCAGGTTATCACGGATAACATATTGGTTAGGTAGCTCTATTAACCCTCTTTTCCACCCAACCCTCTGATTATTAGATTATTTATAGGAGATACCATTAAGTTTGCAACACTTGACAACACCACTTTGCACATCAACATTAACTCAGCCTTGTCTGTTCAGAGGRCAGATTTATTCCCTCTGAATGGACAGAACAATACTCCTTTTGAGCAAGACTTAACTGGCAAGAATAAAGCTATATTCTTTGAAGCTGATGATAATCCATTTAGTTAGTATATTAGTTTTAAAACCAGATTACATAGTTTCCTTTTATGAAGTACATGAAACTCTGCTAGTGTAGAGAAGGCACTTTCCTTGCCAATTGTTTGTTTAAAAGGGGTCCAAGATAAAGGACAGTAAATTCTTTAACAGATGTGATATTTTTTTTCATTGTTACCTTTACCCACACCCAGGGTAAGGCAGGCCTTTGCAAGATGCATAACTGCCTCAACTGAATCACAGATTCAGCTGAAGTCAAACATTCACACTTTAGTTTTCACCTGATGTCAGTGTAAGTCTGAGRTCAAAGAGAAGAAGTTAAAGGTTTTGTGCCACTTCTGAGGACAGTTATTTCTTGGACCCCTAAGTAATTTCACCATGATTTTTCACAATAAAAAACACACTTAGGCAGAAATGAATAGCACACAGGACATGCTAGCAGAGGTCTCTCATAAAAATATTGCAACTTCATTTTGTCTATCAACTGTACTTCCACCACATATACACACAAACATTAAAAGCACACTCTCCTCCTTCACTCGGTACAGTCAATAGTCAAAGCAGCCAAATGGTTAGAAAYGAGCCAATGGAGAACATGATCATTGTAATACCAGGTGAGGATTAAGATTCCCCCACCTGGCCATGAAGTGAACTGTCAAATGGCTACCTTAAAGTTCAGTACTTTTTATGAGATTGGACCATTCTGTACTATCAAACATACAATGTCAGGACAAAGTGCACTCACCATCTGTTTAGATAAGATGCAGGAAGAAAAGTACATAGTCAGTAACAGTTATTTAGATTAAATACCAGATGTTGGTCATTCGAGAAAAGAGCCAGAGATGTATTAAAAATTACTTCTTTGAGCTCAGAGTGCTACTTAAAGGCAGTAACAACACCACAGGTAGCAGTAAGCAGAGGTCTTCCTGCTGCAAGACCTCATGATTGTCAAACTTAACATGCTTGTTATGTTCAGACTTTACACTTACTGGCCATCCTTATGACATTTTTGCTGTCATCTAGTAAAACATTCAGAGCTACAAGAAAGGGCCAGGACAGGGCAGAAAATAAGGCTTTACACCCCTATTCATCTATACAAGTGTCTATTATATTTACAATACCTGTTTAAAGGGAAAGTATACCAGATGCTGACCTGGTCCTCAGCGAGGATAGGAAGCTGCAGTGCCAGGTCCAAGCATCTCACACCCACTTGGAGGCAAATCATCCAAAGATTACTGAAAGATCTACTGCCAAAAATACAGCATGCAAGTTCAGGCAAGAATTCTTATCCTCAYATACATTCTTCTTAGAAAGTTTACATAAAGTTTAAGAGCATTCATAAGCAGTAATAGAGCTAAACAGTAGTTTTCATACTGGAATCATAAAGGGTTACTCACCTTTTAGTGCTATTACTTTAGAGGCTGGATTCATGATGGCACTTTCTGCAGAAATTGGACGTCTGATGGGTGTTGTTGGATCGCTCATGTCAATTATCACTACTTGTGCCTGCTCCCCTACTTTCTCCCTTATGCAGATGAATTTGTCAGATTCCATTGTTAGGGTGCTGAATCCAATGTTTGCTGGATTAATACCCAAATTTTGGAGCTAGGWAGACAAAAAAAGAGTGCTTTATTATCCTTCCCATGCTGAAGGTGTAACTTAAGCCTCTCAATCGAAAATCTCCAGAAGAAAATGCAGGACTGATAATTTTCTCTGACTAGAGTGTACTTTACTGAACTATGACTTATCTTCTGATTTTCTTTGTTGCATAGGTAAAGTACTAGACAATTGTCAGTACTCAGGTCCTGAACATATTCCARATTTGTATTATTAGACAAACTACAAGAGTTTTAATTTAAGCATTTATTACTTAACCTGGTTCCAGTAACGTGATAGATGGTACACCAGCAGCAGCATCACTACTACAGCTCTAGCACGGTTGGCAAATTTGATGTTCAAAACTTAAGTGGCAGAACTACAATGTTCAGCATCACTGGATAGTACAGAAAGAATCAATTACCCTTATGCAACCCACTCCTAGCAAGAATATGGAATGAAGTCGATACAGCAGGTCTCAACTGACCTACAAGTGGACTTGTTCCTCTTACTTCACAGAATGTAATTCTAACCAATCAAAGTGTTTAAAATAAACAATAATTTCTTCTCTTTGCTCAAGATGTCATGCCATTAGGCTCAACAAAGGCAGGGATTGTAATGCTGGCCCCCTCCAGCCTTATGCCCAACTCTAAAAACATAACTTGTGCTCAACCACACAACAGTAAAAACAAAGTAGTTACTCTTAATGTAACCTGGAGTCATTTTGTGCCACTGAACAGACTACCCTACAAGATGGCTCATGKTCATCCTTTTCTGTTAATTTTGTTTCCATTCACTCTCAATTTCAGGTTAACAGGAAGAGGTGGCAGTGAACAAACATCACGGTTTCATTGGTCCACAGTAAATCAGATTTACCTAAGCAGCACAYCCCAGTTTGATATGTCCGCAAGCTGCATTTTATGTAACAGTAAGTGTGACAAGCCTGAGCACCTGCTTTATGCCCCAWAGCAATGCTTTTCAAGCACAGGAACTGTATCACTTCACTGAAGCTTCTCAAAGGATTAACCCATACTGCTTTTCAGTGCACTGCAAGTGAAAAATTACCACCCTTAAGGAGACAGGACGGAATCTACCACCAGCATCACTGAGTCATTACACTCCCTTGACAAATACCACCAGGAGCTTCATACAATAGACTAAATCCCACGGGCAAGAAGTCCTATGATGGCATCAGGAACAGTTTTAGTGTGTTTGAGCTGGCTGATCATGGCATGTTACAGCTTCTGTAAGTGAAGCTACTCACTTAAACCATAAACTGGGTATGTAACAGAGATACCTGTAAGTATGGTGTGTCAGGACTGCGCCCAAGAATGCCTCAGGAATTGYTTGTTTTCTGTTGAGCTGACTAATGAAGAGCTATTCAGCTCAGTAACTGCTAATCTCAACAGACTCAAATTTCAGTAATGTAATATAAGCCAAATGTACGCATGCGTAAAAAGACGTTTACTCATTCCCCAAGTGTCTCTCAGCAGAACTAAGAGCCATTCAGCTAACACCTCACTTCAGGYGTAAATACTCAATGCACACCAGTAAACTTCAGCAGGTGCCATTCATTCCAAAAGAGAATCAAAGTTTAGGTGCAAGGGCATCAGAACACGTTGGCACCTAGAGTTTTGAAAACAAATCTACCGTGCAGATGACTATTACAGGCTTCTGTGTCAGGAAGGAAAGTTTTCATACCAAGACACTTCTCATATGTAACACAGAACGTTTTAGCAACCAATAAACATGCAAGTTGTAGCTCTGTCAACTTCTGTGACCTTGAACAACAGAGGAATACATGGTAGGTTCTTAATTCCACCATTCTTGCTCACTTGCTCTACACCAGACGATATCCACATACTGTCACAAATTACATGTTCACATAGTAGACACTTAAGCACTTTAATGTTGAGCATGTTTCTGAATCCATCTGCCAATGGAATACAGTCCATTATAAGAGACTGATTGTCACAAGAGTAGTCCAGAGATTTAACTGCAGCACAGCTAAGTTCCTAACTTGATTTAATTAATCCAAATCCAGATGTATTTCCAGACTACTGAAGCAGAAACACAGSTTCTTCAAAGTCTCTTCTCAATTAGTGTGCTTCAGTATGACCCACTCTTCAAGAGACAGCCTCTGGCCACTCATTTAGCATAGTGAGAACCTTGAGGCATTTCCTACCTGAAGTTCAGCTTTAAAACTACCATTATACACTCCAAAGTCTGGTCCCTGCTGAAGAAAAGATTTTGGCTATCTTCACTATGACAAGTATGAATTTGCATCACAAGCTGGTATTAAAATTTTCTGCTTTAAATTACTACAAAATCTAGCTTTCAGAWAATGTAAAGCCAARTTCTGCTTGAGTATCACYGCCATCCTTATTATTAGGGAAACCYRTCACATCTTTTAAAGGCTAAATGCCAGTACTCCCAAAGGATGGTCACATGAATATTGCAATCCTCAATGAATAATGACAACACTTCACAGTTTAGCAGTCTGAAAACACTAGAGACTATTCCTATTACTATTAGGGGAGTAGTACGTATCCTCCTGAGAAATCTTCGGCAGTGTAAGAGGTGTATTCTATACAGACTATATATATGAACATGAGCAGAATCCCTCTAGCATCAAATAAAGGGACATCAGACAGCATCACTTTTACCTTGGATGGGACAAATCTGCCACGATGATCAACGTTGCCTCTCCTGCCCTAACACCCATTATGTACACACACAGCGTGGAACCAGCTTCATTGTCAGGCTGAATGAACCAGGTAACAAAGATCTTTGCTTCATGGATATCTGTACTACTACAGGCTGGATTAGATATCTTAAAGAGTTTTAAGCATCTTATAGATACTGAGAACTTACTGACATAGTAAAGATTAAACCAAGATGTATTATTTGATTCTCAACATGAATGAAGACAAAAAGATATTCAGGATTAAACACCGTTATTAATCTGATATTTAGTCTTTCCCTAATCTTTACCAGCATTGTACCATTTGATAAGAAATGAAGTCAAGATGTCTTTTACACAAGAGCTCTACTAAATACTGGGCTTTCTAATGCATTTCCCTTACTGTGGAGTGCAGCAATCCAGATCGARTCAGTACAGACCAAGGGAGATACTGACTACCTCCAGCCTTCAAACTAAGTCTGTTTCTCTAATCRGAAATACTTAAACCTAACTTACYGTCTAATACTGACACTCCAGTAACYTGGACCTACCATCAGTTAAATGCTGGAGTCAGAACTCTGCGAATTTAATTTCTCTCCAGAGTTCAATAGGGATCCCATTTCAGCTTCATGCCACATAATTCTAATAAAAATGCTTTTTGGGGGTGATCAACTACTCTTTTTAAGGCTTTTAGGAAAGAGTAAGGCTTGGACAGAGGCTGTATGTACACAAATAAAAACTGTCTGCTAAAAGCTCTGTAAGCCCTTTTAAACGTACATATCCTCTTAAACATAACACAAACCAAGAATGCAGTAATAGCTTCCCATAACTAACTCATAACTATCTAAAGTTATATGCACATCCTTAATGGGGATGATTACAATTGTTGGGCATCCCTTTTCACCTTCATCTTGTCTCCTACTGTAGCTCTTATTTTGACAGATGAAGGACATCAAAGAAGTATGTAAGACCCAAAACATGCAAAACCACTGTGTCACAGGTTTTARCTGCAGCTGGAATTAGGTTTTCATCTTAAGTGACAGTTACTCCCTAGACAAAAACCTATTTCTATATGTCTGTGATGAGGACTGGATCATCCATCAAATGAGTATCACTACCATGTGCAGGGCACTTTTGAATCCAATGAGCAAATATGGAATCTTCATCACTGAACAGCTGAATCAAGTCATGATATTTAGCCCTACCTTTTGAATATAAATCTAAAAAGTCACTTACAGCGTGCAAATATCCTGAGTGCTTTTYAAGTCCACATGTCTAGCCAAAGCAAATTCATGAAAGCCATCCAGCTCAGTCATGCCATTGCACAACAGATAGTAATACTTTCTTAAGAAGACAAGCCAGACTATCCAAACAGAAAGTAGTTTTGTCTTGAAAATGATGGAAGTAACTGTACATCCTTTATGGTTAAAACCAGGACACTTTAGCCTGTCAATGCTGCCAACAAGATAGGCTCTCAATACGTTGCATGTCACGAACACAATCTTTCTCACAGTAGCTGGCTGTGCTCAGCAGCCTGTATCAGTTATTGAACAGAAAGCACAACTGTGTGTYTGTGCTTTGAAGGGATGATCGCTCCAACCTTGGAACCCGAGACCKTACTTAAGGAACAGTATTCCCCATAGACAAGCAAAGACTTTTGCTAGTGAGAACTGAAAAAAGCTCAGAGGCACAAAAAGACGCTTTTAAGACAAAAGCAATGACTAAGTAAAGGAAAAGTTTAATTTTAGATCGGAACACTTTGTACACTGGATTCTAGTAGTWWTGCTTCCAGTCTACATATCAGTATATCTGATCTTTCACAGCACTTCCATTGTAAACTACAATCCCCTTGCAGAACTTGGAAGAGTTCAATGTGGTAAATAATTTATAATTCACTGATCCAACAGAAGCACTGGACTTAAGAACCTGATTAAATCACATTAGCTTAAGTAGTATGCACAAGTAATTCACTGCAGCRGGACTTGGCATAGTTCGCACTGCTGCAGCTGGGCAGTCACCAGACAGATAAAAACTAAGTCCTTGTCTTATTCCCCTCCCTTGCTATGGGACTTAACTACAATATTCTCTGGGGTAAAAATGAGCAAGATGAAAGTTCTTTATGAATTGTGAAGACTCATAGTGACAGAGCTCACACTTAAAAATAATAATTCAATTTCATTAAATGGAGCTAAACAGACTTCGAGTTCCTTCTACTACATTAAGACCTGGATATATATTTTTTTTTTCATTGCAGCTATTCTCCATCCTTCAGCTCCCAAAAGACTTGAATGTACAAGCTATAACTACTTCAAATTTAACGTGCCCTGTGACTAGCAGTCACTGTTGCTGCACAGRCTTGGAGCTACTCAGGAGCTAGTCAGAAGGACAATCAACATAAAGCAAGATGAGCTGCAGGAAGAATGTAAACAATCTGCTGATCCCTAGCACTCCTCCAATTCTATGTGGACCAAGATCCCTGTTTCACTTCACACTACCATTTATCCACTTCCAGCAAGAGAGTGGGAGAGAAGAGTTCAGTTTTTAGCACTGCAACTTATGTTTAGCTTCTCTAGAGAGCACTTTCAGCATGGCTCTTCTTTCAGTAAAGTACATGTAACTACCTCGGGAAGWCTCTAAACTTAAGGGAAATAATGTTTCATCAGCAACAGGCTGAACTTGGAATTAATTATAGCACTAACKGATACTCTAATCACTTAAAGCCATAATAATTAAAAAGGCTACAGTAGAAACAGTACACAGATTGAATAAARGCACAGGAAGATTTAACTTCAGATCACGGAAACACACAACAATTACATAGAATAGTTAATTTTTCTGATTTGTCATAAAGCAGCACAGTAAATTTGCTAAGCTAATTTTAAACATGACAATTTAACCACGGTCAAGACGATTATTTGGAAGTAATGTGGGTAGGGGGGGGGAAGGAGAGAAATTAAGCTGATAAGGTTAAATAAGTGTAGTAGTATTATGAAGGCACAATGTTTTCACAAATTCTCTACCAGTCAACAACAAGCACCTCGTAACATAATTCATGACTCCAGATTCTAGTTTACAACATACAATACTGAAATTAGAGCTGATGTAACTGTACTGCAGATATCCAGCCAGAGCAAACACTGAGTTCTTACATTCCTTCCATTTTCCCTCCCTATTTATCCCACCATGTAGGGACAATTGCAGAAGCAGCATGAGGAGGTTACTGCATACCTACTCCCAGCTACTACTGATCTCAATCCCTTTAGCAGAGTACCACTTTAGAGCTCTGCACTCTGCCTGGGGGAGAAGCAGAAAAGAGTGAATGCTGAACAAGTTTGCTCCTACATGTTAGCAACCCACATCCTAGGGATCTCCCTGCTCCTCCATGCAGCTTTCATGCTGAGGAAAAGTGACTCAAGCACACGTTTAGCCTYTTCAATAAGATCTAATTGTTTAAGAGCAAAAGCAGGTGGTAGCAAAAAATAAAGTATGACTTCAGTACAAATCCTTTAAAAAGTGGGGGCTCAGTCCCTCACCCAAACCTGAGGTACCACAACGCTGATAYTGGCAGTGTTGCAAGACACACAACACTGGTAATCACAGAAAGAGACATTTAACATGCAAAGCAGCACAGTACACCTCTTGCATATCAAGTGTGATGTCCTCTCATTGCTATTGTATAGATCAAACACWATCAGCAAGATTGGTTATGCTTGCTAATTTTAAATGGTAAGAACTGTACACTCCCCAAGGAGAATCTGACACCAAAACCACTTTGATTCCAAGTTTCTTACTCAGACAGCTGTYCCATAGCTCTTAGGAACCTATTTGAGATTACTACAGTCACTACTATAGTGGACACCAGCAGGGAGGGGCGTGGAGTAACTGTAGAATTCTTCACTATGTTAAACTCTCCTAACCCATGGAAATCCAGAGGATAYAGGTGTGTCTCCTCCCTTGGACACRAAGATTAGATATTTCTGGAATTCACTCTAATTACTGTTTTTTTCCAGGCTACAGCTCCTTCTAGGGTCACCAGGGYAGTTCCTCCAGTTAAGCAAAAAAAAACACTTCCCGAAAGGAGCTGGAAGTGGCTGCAACCATTTCCCAAGCTGAAATGCCCTAAGTGGCATGAAGTCCACACTGGGGGATGATATTCAGTTCGTATTTTGAAATGGATGCCTGGTTTGACAGAAAGGGGCGGTACAGCGACAGAAGGATGACTTGCCAAGTCCACTTCCTGTTCTCTCATTCATTTAGCAAATTCCTTTAATTCCTGCCTCAAACTGCACGTTCAGAGACYGCTGTTCTCTCACTCCATTTACAACCTTCCCTCACCACCAGTTCATAAGGAAACAGATAAACCGGTTTGTCTGTGCTACATCCATTAGCCATGGATCTTTCCCAATGCTGGAATTACGGTTTTCACAGGATATTAAGATATCCTATTGTCATTTATCCTATCATGTCCTATTCCATGTCATTTTCGGGGAATGATTTTTTAATACTGTTATGTTTGGAAGGAGGCAGAGAGGCTGTGCAGCTTYCAAGTCCAAAYGGTTTCTTACACCTCATCACAACAMTTTCCTCACAGCTGCACAAAAAGAGGTTCCCAGGAGCCYTCACGACCCATAGGCCGATGGTCGTTTAGGTAAAAGGGAAAAACCACGATCCGCCTGCAAGAYTGCGGCGTTCACCCGAAGTGAGGCGGGGGAGCGCCCGCGGTGCCCAGGGCGAGCAGCGCGGCCCCGGCGCAGCGCCTCCCCCTCCCCGGAGCGGGAGGTCCCTCCGGCGACGAGTGACTCTGCACAAATCGCGGCCGCTCGGCACGCCGCGAGGACGCGGCTCCAGGGATGGGAGGACGGACGGACGGATGGATGTACAGAAGCGGCAGCGCAGAGTCCGCACTGGGGGCGGGTTCGGCCCCGCGCGCCTTCCCGCGGCGCCCAGCGGGACGGCGGCCGCGCTCTGAAGGAGGGGACGGAGCGGGTCCCCCCGCGGCCTGGGGCCCCTCTCCCCGCCCTCAGCGCGCCCCTAGCCCGCCTAGGCCGCGGCCCCCCTTCTCCGAGAGACGGGGTGAGGCAGAAGAAGGGGAGCCCGACCCCACGACTTCACCGCAGCCCCCCCTGCGCTCACCTGGAAGTGCTCCTGGAAGCGAATKGGCAGTATCTGGGCCATGGCTGGGGGCGAGCTCCCCAGGGCAGGGGCGCGGGGCAGGGGCGGGCGGTAAAGCGGGGCTGCCGCCGGTACTCCCCTCACGGCGGCGGGAGCGGCGCAGGCGCGGAGCCCTCGCTGGGATGGCGCTCGGAGCGCCCGCCGCCCTCCTCGGCCTCAGCGCGGGGCCGCTCACTCRTAGGGATCACTCCGCACCTCCCTAGCCTGCCAGGGTCTCCTCAAATAGTCCCTCCCCKCCGCGCTTCTTCTCCCGCCCCTCGCCGCCGCCTCTCGCCCGCTCTCCCYCTCCCGCCTTCTGCCCCGCTATGCCCCACTCCCGCTGAGGCTACGAGCCGGGGACGGGACTTTGAGGAGCAGGGGGTCCCCGCCGCCGCTACGGCTAGCAGAGAGGGGCGGGAGGGGCTGTCCAAGTGCAGGTATCCTTCCGCTGCTGCCACACACGCTCACGTGACCCGGCCCCCTCCCCTGCTCCTCCGGCGCTGCCGGCAGCCCAGCGTGCTGCCCATGGCTGGGGCTGCTCCCGGGATCCCCTGGCACCGACCGCTGGGGCTGCTCCCGGGACACCGTGCCACCGACCCCTGGGGCTCCTCCCGGGACACCCACCGACCGCTGGGGCTCCCCCCGGGACACCCTCCCACCGACCGCTGGGGCTGCTCCCGGGACACCCTGCTACCCACCGCAGGGGCTGCTCCCGGGACACCCTCCCACCGACCGCTGGGGCACCTCCCGGGACACCCTGCCACCAACCGCTGGGGCACCTCTTCACCCACCCTCACACAGAACCCCAGGTGCTCCCCGGCCCACCCTCACACGGACCCTCGGGGCCGTCCCCTGACCCACCCTCACACGGATCCCCAGCGCTGTCCCGGCCCACCCTCACACGGATCCCCAGCGCTGTCCCGGCCCATCCCACCCTCACACGGATCCCCAGCGCTGTCCCGGCCCATCCTCACACGGATCCCCAGCGCTGTTCCGGCCCACCCTCACACGGATGCCCAGGGCTCCCCCCTGTCCTTCCCCACAGCCGCGCGGTGGTGCCAGGGCCATGCTCCCCTCAGCGCCCCAGGACTCCGGCCGGAGGTGAGGAGGAAGACATGGAGCACCCAGGAGCGGCCTGGTGGGCACTGGAGGATGGGAGACACCTGCCTGGCACCTGCCGTCATGGCTGGCCGTGCCAAAGTGCGACTCTTCTTCTCCTCCTCCTTGGCAGCCCCAGAACTGCCAAAGACACTGGGGTCTGGCTGGCTCAGACACTTGCTCTTGGCCCACCAGCCATTGATTTATCCTAGCACCGTGTGGGCTTTGCTACCTGCAGTCACGCCCAAAGGTGGGAGAGGGGGTTTATGACCACTTACCACCTAGGAAACCATCCAACTATTCTGCCCTGTTAAATTTCTAAATAGAAGTAGGGCTCCTTCCCCAAGAGTTGACATTGTGAGTTGGAAGCTATTGAATAACCAAAAAGTGTAGGGTCCAACGTGCAAGAAATACACCTCTTTTTTCTTTTTACCCTCACTCCTAGTCAGCCCATTAGCATCAGATGAGGGAGGTGAAGGTAACATCAGTGCTATTATATTTCTCCTAAATTACAGTAATCCTTTGAGGTGAAAACGGCTGCAGTGGTGCTAGTTCCAGCAGTTTTATCAGAGCATTGTATTGTTCACATTTTCCCAGCTCTGGGAAACAAGATTATAGGAGAATCTCTAATGCAAAGCTGAACAAGGGACCCCTGAAGACTCAAAACTAGAAGGCAGATTAAAACAATTTCAAAYACATTACAATTTAATACCTCATTATTTTCACTTAACCTCATTCATTTTTAATACATGGAGTTGGGAATTACCAAAACTGGGTTAAGTTTCCAAAGGAATCACAGGCATGGCTCACTCGGATACCTGGGTTCCCTCTGGCACAGAGTCACAGGCTGCAGCTCTGGGGATCCCTTGGTCATGAATGGGTAGCCTGAAGGTCCACAGCTGGACTGAAGAACCCCAAAGCAATCCATTGAACAGGTGGCTGGGAATAAGGTACTGCTGAAGCCCCATCCCTGTGGAAATCTGGGATCTGTATCTCCCCAAACGACTCAGGATTCAGGTCATACACCAAGGTCCGATCTCTCAAAAGAACAAAGCAAAAACTGGAGCTAAAATGGAGACAACTTTTCTTTATGTGGTCCAAAGAGGTTTGAGTAGCATCTGCTATGCAGTTTTGTTAGTTGCAGTTGATTTATGGTGGGTTATGAGTTTCTAAATGAGGGCAGGTCAGCAGTGCTGTACACACAGACCACCAGTGAGACATCAGGACATACMAGTCACCAGCCCAGTATCTATCATTTTGGTATAGTGAGCTTGTTCTGTCAACTTCCCTCCCTCACATTCACTTTATGGATGCTAAGTAGTTATATCCAGAGCTCCTATTTTTGCTGATTTATAGCTARCTATCTTAAAAAAAMCCCAAACAAGCCACAGACTTCCATCACTTACTGTACAAATTAAGTAGTCCTTCTTAAGTAGTGTACATAGTTATATGTATTTTATATCATTTATATTTTAAAGAAAATTGTGACAAAAGAAGCAACAGATTTGACTCTGAGCTATTGTTATTATTGAGAATTACAAATGCACAGAAGTCACTGTACTGTGTGCCATCTCAGTAGTCTGGCACTAAGCTGCTGACATGAACTAGAGAGATCACTGGCTAAGGAAACCAAGGCTCMTTTAAAGTATAATTAAAATTAAAGGTCTGTTATATTATTCACTCCAATTTTAATAATATAATCTTTCATGCCCACTCCCAGCTGGCCAAATCCTAATTACAACATCCCATAATTTCTGTAGTAAAAAAAGTATCTCACTTTATGTAAAAGTGCGTTGCCACACTTCTGTCTGCTGATGTCTTTCTCATTTGTACCTCCCTTACACTGCTCTGTGTTTAAATATCTGTCCTTTTTCCCCCTGGTGTTGCTGATCCCAAGGGTTGGATTCTTTGCAAGCGTGATCAGCTCTGAAGGGTGAGCTGAGAGCGTTGGACATTTTGGCACAAATCAAACAAATGGGAAAAGTATTATGCCATCTTTTCTCCACTTTGCAGCCTGCTGAGCTTCCACTGCTAAAGAAACTGACCTCTGCAGTGAGCTATGTGCATGGATGTTTTAACTGAGTCTTTTAACCTTGTTTTCTATATTTAGTTTGAGGTCTCTCAATGAAAAGGTACTACTGGCCTTATTTAAGGTATTTCTCCTACCGTTTATAGTCTGTTAAAAGGGAATGTAAGAGGTCTCTAATGATGTGCTGTATTAGTGTCCCTGTGATTAGCTGATTGCTATTTTCCTGCTCCTTTATACAAGGCAGAGCCACAGGACTCAGCAGCTGAGAAGGGTGTAATCCCTAGCAATACTTTAACAATGCAAATGGAAAAGCTCCTGGTAAATGTTTCTCTATTTTCTTCAGATGTRGCTCTCATCCAAATATTTGGTTTTCTGGCTCATTGTATGGATGGCAACCTGATGCCCTTTTCCCAGTCTTGGTGAACAGCCYTGAGAAGAGCTGCATTTTTGTCTTGGAGAGGCTGTTATTTACATGGGAAAATGTTGTATGTATGTTCCTAGTCTTCTTCCCACAAAATTGGCCAAGGAAGTCTCACTGGAAAAGCAATGTGCATTTCTCTTCAATGTTTCTCTCAGATTCTTGCTCAACAACATCCGTTCATATCACTGGTTAACTACACAAAAGTTCAATTTCCAAATGTTTGGCCACTTGATTGTTTTGTTTCATGAAGGTAAAAAAGTCACTGGCACATCTTCTGGCCTGTGTGAGAGAGCATCCACTACAGGAGACCTGCCTCAGTGGGAACACTCAAACACTTGGAGTGTTCCTCAAAGTTCAGCTCCAAGGAGCTGAGAATCTGTGGGTTGGACTTGCACATCCTTGTGCATGATCACTGCAAACTGCTGGAGAGCTGCTGCATGTGGCAAAGCACTGAACRCAGGGTGTTGATCCACATCTGTTCCCAGCTGAATGCTGCCTGGCGCTGTCAGAGTGTCAATGTTTTGCCTAACAGATAAATGCAAACCTTAGGAATGCTGGATCAGCACTCACAGCACAAAGATGTTTTGGTGCAGCAATAACAGAGTGTCACAACAACTCTTAAAGTCCTGATTTGGTCTCTCGTGGAGAAAATTTACATTTCATGCATCTCAAGGCCTTCACTAACTGCTCTGTTTGCTTCAGAATCCAGTTTGAAATTGTACTCCTTGTTTTTCAAACCACACCCTCGCTCCTTGGACTTCTTTCCAGCTTGTCTCCCGGAGACAGCAGAGTCCATTCCTTTCCTCCCCTCTGTCTGTTCTCTCTGCTTCAACAAACTCCTTGCTACTGAGTCAAGAGCTGTCTCCTGCTGTTGTCACCCATTCCAGAACTGACTCCTTGTACATGTCCCTCAGTTATCCTTCRTTTTACTGTGAAGTTCCATTCAAATAATACCCTTTTTTCCTGGAATTCAATTATCCTTTTCCATCTGTTCTTACTGAATGCGTAACTCTGGGTCATACAAAGTGCTCTGAGGCTCTGGATGAGTTTCTTCTGTGGTTTTTGGAAGTCATTGTGCAAGCTCCTGAGAGCAGACTGGTAAAAGTTGTAGTGTTCTAAGAGAAGGTATTTGAAATGTAAAGATTATGTTGCAGAGTTGTTTAATATATAATTGATTAATGTCTATTTAATACTTCAACAGGAGAATGATGTTGTACACACTTAGCATTTGAGGACAAACCTGTTATAATGTATTTAACTCTTGACATGCTTTTGATAAAGGTCACACCATTAATTTAGTTCAGCAGGTAAAGCCCCATCCTGTATTCCCTACACATGAAAGCTCTGCTGGTGATTTTAATCTCAATCTCTCCATCATCTCCATCATCAGATTCTGATAGCATTTAATGTCAAAATGAACAGGAGTGTCTAGAGGCTGAAGCAGTGCAGGTGGGGAGATTCCTCCCAGAGAATACCATGCTGATACACAATTTACCTGTTACTTGCAAATAATATGCCTTTGTGCCTCCCAGAAGCATTTCCATTTAAAGGAGCTATTTCTGACTGTGGGCAGGATGCCAACATCAATGCTCTTTGTGCATTCTGTCTGCTCCTTCCTTTCTGTCCATTCATGTCTGCTCCTTCCCTGGACACTGATTTCTTCA